GCAGTGGATGTCTCTCCACTCCCACTCCCGCCTTGAGGCTGACCTTGAGTTACAGACGACTTCTGCCACTGTTTCCCAATGAACTGGAAATAGATTATTTTCGCTAGTGGTTTTGTGCAGTTTTTCCAGAAAATACCATGAGGAATAGTCAATACCTTGGCACAAACGTCGGGGTCACCCATGGAAGGGCCTGCAGGCCTGGGGCCCGGGAGCCCTGGGTCTGAGGTCCACCTGTCCTGGCCTGCGGGAGGAATCTGCCCCACATATGCATCCCCTCCCTCCCCTCCTCTTTTTCTTTCTCCTGTCTTCTTTTTGAACTGGGGGAGGGGGATGGATCTCCCACTGGAGGGTGTGTGGCCCCAGCCATACTCCCCAGGCTCCCCTCCGCTCTGGACAGCAGCAGCTGGGGCACTGGGAGCGCCATTGCGGCATGTTCTCCGCTGAGCGCCAGTAACTTCTGCTAACATAGTAACTGTGCAATCATAAAACTGCACTAACCCTAATCCCAGGGACTTCTTTTGTGCTTCTTGCCTTATAGATGCTGCCATTTAATGGCCACACCCATTAAAAGCTGAGGTAACCCTGTGGGCAGCCGAGGGGGCGATGCCTAGAGATGTTTTCCAAAAGGATTTAAAATGGCTTTTATTTTGTTTGTAAAGTGTACACAATGGACTACCAAATTTACTTTTCTCTTTCTTCCTCTTTTCAAAAGCCACACGCTAAGGACAAGATCTATGTCCAAAGTCAAGGTAAGAGTCTTTAAAATACACATATTATGTTTTGAACGAAGGTGTCCTTTAGAGAGACACACTGGGATGTTTTGGATGAGAGAATATGATTCTGATGTTTACTTAATGAGCAGGATGAACACAGTTTCATTGTTTTGTATCAGAATAAGAAATGAATAGAACACCTAGGGGAAATGACGAAAGAGTCCTTGAGACTGCAGCCTTCCCCACACTTTCCAGCAGTGGGAGTGCAATCGACCTCACCCAGGGTGCGTGTAAAACAGGGGCTGAGCACCCAGGTTGACTGAGTTGGGACCTGCCCCCCATCACGCACCCCACCCTCTTGACCTCACCCAGACTGCCCGGTGGTGGCATCTGGAGCCCTCAGCCCAACCCTGTGGGCTGTAATCACTCCTGCAAAACACTGTCGTGTGCAACCTGGAGTGGAAAGAAGGGATTCAAGGGAAGGCAGGTGACCTGACCCAGGCCAGGACAGGACAGGCAGAGGCCCAGGATGGATGCAGGGACTTCTTGGCTGGGACATCCCCCGGTGCTGCTCATCTCGCGGCACCTGCCCGAAGACCCTCCTCATTGTGTCACCATGAAAACATTGCTCCTGTGTCTCAGTGTCATTTTTAGCATCAGGACTGTTTTCACCTATGCTCCTTTCTGGAGTGTGCACCATGAGCAGGTGTGCCGCCTGGCCTGTGAGAGAGGCTGCGTGGGCACAGGGTCAGGGGGCCGGGTGGCAGGGAGGCCAGAGGTGTCCCTTGATTACAGCTGGGAGATGCTGGAGCAGGGAGGAAGCAGCGTGGGTGTGGACGCAGCCCCACGCTGACAAGCCGTGCCATCTCCGTGTCCAGCCAAAGAGGCGGAGGAACCAACTTGGCGTGCAGATCTTAGGAGTGTGGACAGTGGGTGGAGGCACCATCCCTCCCCCTCCCCCCAACGTCCCTGGCAGAGGGCTCCAGTGTGTTATCTGAGCCAACCATGATTGCTAAAGTGGGTTCTAGAAGTGGTCAGATGACTTGATCAACGTGTTATAAAACTTTCAAGCTTCCTTCCCATCGTCAAAAAATCTGCTGAGTGTTGCTCTTGAATTCAGTCTAAATCTTACAGGTTTGCTTTTTAAGAAAAAATGTAAACTTAGCAAATCTGTTTGAGGAAATGTTACCCAGACTTCAAATGATTGGACACGAATTGGTGAGGTTGAGATGAGGAATTTTAAATAAAGATAAGATGGTACATGGGCCTGTTAGGGCTCAGTTCTGTTGTGTGGGAAACCTTCTACAGGGTTCCTAAGGAACCTGAGATCTGCATGACCCAGAGGCAGTTTGACCTGGCCACGGACAGGGCCAGAGGCCGGCTGTCCTGGTGGAACCTGGGGCTGCCCTTTCACCTCCCCTGCTGGAGAGTCGATGGGCCCAGTGGGGACTGGGCTGAGTGGGTTCCTAAGAACCAAAAAGTCCACAAGCTGCCATGTCTCCCAACCTCATCCATGCCCATGTTCTCTTTTTCTGTTTCCTTCGACCCAGGAATTGCAACAATACCGAACGCCGCTTTTAACTGGAACAGCTTTCTTCAGCGCTCAGGTAAGCTGGGGCGCCTTCTCCCAGGACTTGGATGCAAGTCCTCAGGGGCAGCTCCTGTCGCCTTCATGGGCTCTGAGGGAGAGCTTGCCTAGCCCAGAGGTTGACTGGCTCGGGTGCGGCAGGACTAGGAAGCAGGATACTGGCACAAGGCCAGGAAGATGCGGAGAGCACGTGGGACATTTATTGGTCTTATTTATCTTCACAAGGGCTTGTATAGAGTGTTCATGCCTTTTAAAAAGTTCTCTTATGTATTTTATTGCTTTTGATGCAACTATAAACTTAAAAAATGAATTCTCAAAATGTTTGCTGCCCGTATGTATATATATATAAATTAATTGATTTTTGCGTGTCGATGTAACCTGTGGTTTCATGGTTGCCAACACTGCAAACTGGCTTGACTGAACCTTTCAATGGGGCACTGGGTTTTTGTAGCCCTGTGGTGAGCAGTCAGAAGAGTGTGAGGCCCTGCCTTCACGTACCTGACCCTTCTTTTCTTGGGAGGGTTCCCACCATAGACTGTGCTAGACCACGCACCTGCTGGAGCTCCTGCCTCTAGAGAGATGCCTCCTGGAAAGGAGTCCACCAGAGATGCAGAGAGGGGCTTCTTCCCTGCCTGAGAGCAGAGCAGATGAACATGGCCGTGATGTTCCTGCAGGATATTGCTGCACAGTGTCCTTAGTACAGGGCGCGTGGTGGTCCGCGGGAGAGGCACCCGGGGCATGCTCTGGGAGGAAAGCTTCCTCACGGGCTGCCAGTCCAGCACTGCTAGATGAAGGAGGGAGAAGAGGTGAAGTTGGATGCCGTGTACAGTTGGAAGTCCAAGGATTCTTCTGCTTTATGTGGAGACGTGTTTTCCCCAGAGGGGACAGTGTAGGAGTGCTGTCCAGACGGACCCACCTGCGGGTGAAGAGGAGTTGAAATCATAGGTCTACGGGGAAGCTGAGAAGCACCGTCCTCCCTTAGCCAACACCGAGGCTGGCCCATTTCACCCCAGATCCTCATGCAAAACCGCATCCACCACAAACTGTGTGTCAGTACTGGTTTCCCTGGAGAAAAAGAATCTCCAAACGTTTTATTAGAAATAATTTCTGGAGTGTGCTCCTGCATCCAAATGATAGCAGCAAGGCCAAGCTCAGCGTTACCGATGCAACCGCGCCGTCGGGCCACTTCATCACCTTGGCCAGGGTGCCATTATTCAGAACTGGTGGGCCCCTCTAAATGGCCTGCCGGGAGGTTATTTCATCTTCAGGGAATTGCAGGACGTGGTGATGGAGTGACTGAGATTCATAATTCCTAAAGGAGGAGGATGCGTCCCAGGTGCTGTGGCCTCCTGGCTGGTGTCTGGTGTTGCTACGGGGTGACCACAGAACACCCAGAGGGTCCAATGCTCCCTAGCAGACCTGTCCTCTGAGCCCTGCATGGCAGCAGTGTCCTCGTGGTGTGTGCGACTAGAAGCGTCCAGGTCCTTGGAACCCTCCGCCTGGGGAGTCTGGGAGTAGCTGGATGACTGCAAGATGGTGACCTCGGGTGGCTGGAATGGACCTGTGCCTGGGTTACCCGGCCAGGCGTCCGCTGGTCTGGGCCACCGTCTTTGTCCTATTCCAGGCTCTGAGGATAGACCGTCCTTGTCATCTCTCTTCCATCCTACCTTGGTCTCTGGGGCCTTTGGCACCTGTGGCTGTTTTGTCCCCTCCACTGAGCTTCAGTGAGGACAGAAGGTACACAGATTTGGGGCAGCTGTTATAGCCCAAACCCCTTTTGAATTCTCATGAGCTATTCCTCTGTAGAGCTGGGTGGGTGGGGGGCCTCTCTGACCCCCTTCTACACAGCTGACATCTGCTTGGTCACAAAGGCTGTTGGCGGGATAGTAGGCTTCTGCAGCGTGGGAGGACAACCTTTTATTTTTATTTTTTGGTACCAGGTATTGAAGCCAGGGACACTTAACCACTGAGCCACAACCCCAGTCCTTTTTAATATTTAATTATTTAGACACAGAGTCTGGCTGAGTTGCTTAGGGCCCCGCTAATTTGCTGAGGCTGGCTTTGAACTCTCCATCCTCCTGCCTCAGCCTCCTGAGCCACTAGAATTACAGGCGTGTGCCACTGCACCCTGCCTGAGGTCAGTCTTACCATGTGTTCTCATCTTCCAGTGTGTCCCAGGTTCCCTGACAGTGTGACTTCTCTCAGCTGTAGCTAACAAAATAACTAGTCTCCTTGGTTGAAAACACTAAACCAGTTTGATGCTAACAAGATCCATGTTTGCACATTTCAACTAAGAAGAATTTAACTGGCTACTTGGGGTACAGGCTTCTCTAGTTCCTCATGTGATGTTTGTGGCAGCCATTCTGATCAGAAGATACGGGGCAGACCCCAGGTGAGTGAGCTGGTTGTAGGGTTCTGGGCACTGCCAGGTACATTCAGTGTAATGTCCATGGTATTTGCTCCTATGCCCAAGTTAACACCTCTGAAGCCAGGGTTCCTCGCAGGCTGGGCCACCAAACCCCCAAATTAGGATCAGATCTGATCCAGGACTCTTCTTTCTATTTCTTTGTTTTTCATTTAATTTTTACTCCTGCTGCTTATTTATTTAGTCCCCCACCCTCAACATTTTGTATTTCTGAATGGAGCCCCTAAGATGCCTCACTCACACTTGGTCTTTTTCTTTTCCCGACTATTCCTAAGAAAGCTGGCTTGTTTTTGATATGGAAAATTGGTATTACTAGATCTCTTTATTCTCACACAGCCACAAAATCAGATTTCTCAGTTGAAATTCAGTAAGCCTAATGTGCTTGGCTGAAGTTCTTGAGTTCTTTTCTCCTAATAATACCCGTAAAATGTAGAGGGGGATGTCAGCTCAGACGGGGCGGGCGCATGGTTCAGCCCGTTGGTGCTGGTGTGGGTGCCAGACCATGCAAACAGCACGATTCTGTTCTGAAGACAAAAATATCAACCTGCAGGAAACGGTTCAGGCGGGAAGACGGGGGAGTGTGTGCGTTTGTCAGTGAGGAGCTCACACCTGACTCTCGCCTACCCTGGGTATCGCAGGAAACTTAGCAGTAAAAGTACCTCGGAGTTAAATCCAAAAAACACGATGCTCCAGGACTCACACGGCTTGCAGGCCCCTTGCCTTAGGTGTCTTTTAAAATCTAGGCAGGAGCCGTCCCAGGCTGCAGGGAGCCGTGGCTGCTGTCTGGCTGATGTTTGAGTCAAGGACTTGAACTCTGGCAGAGGGGCAGGACTTTCCAGCTGTTGTCTTCATTTCCTCGAAAATGACACTTTCTGTGTGAGAGAAGTGCACACAAGACAGTCACATCTGAATGTTGTCTCCATGACTCATGCTCAGCATCCGAGGACGAGACGGGCACTTAGTCTTTTGTTCTGCCACTTCTGACTTAGTTCCCCCAATTCCCTTGACATTTAGTTTCCACCTTACAACAAAGATGGGGAAGAGGTGGGGAGCGCCGACTTCACTCCGACCCCTCCAGGGTCTTTGTCAGGAATCTCAAAATCGATCCAGTGGGTCAGGAACAAGCACCTTAAAAAATGGAAGTGAAGCCAAATGGGACACACAGAGCGCCTCGTGTGGACAGGGCGGAAGGATTTCTTGCGGTTGCATGGCACACGCCTGACCTCGTGGTGAGTGGCACTCTCACCCGGGCTCTGCGCTGTGGGTCTATCTGTGCATCTAACTTGCAGCTCAGACTTCAAACAAGTGCCAAGGTTTATGTTCTAAGGTCATTGAGGATATTCAGAGTACTGGGGAGGTATTTTTATAAAATCCTCAACATTTCAATGACAGTTTCAACAGCTCAGGGCCAGCTTTCCAAGGACCTGGGCCAGGGGATGTGTAGGCCAGACTCCCCTGCCTGACCTGGCCAAGGGCCAAGAGGCCTTCAAACTGGTATTTGAGCTGCTGATAGCGGTGCTGGTGAGGGAGGGTGTCCTGTCCCTATCCATCTCTGGGGGGGCAGAGGGCTGCCTGTTCTACATCTGTCTTTATTTCCCCCCAGAACCACTGGTACAGATCTCCACCTGTGCCACATTTGGAGTGCAGGGTTCTAGGGCTTCCTCTGTGGTTGGCTGGCTCCGCTGCTTTCAGGCCTATGGTGAAGCTGAACATGGTGTGGAAGGTGTGGTGGAGGGAGCTTGGCCACCTCTTGGCAGCCGGAAAGCACAGACCCAGAGGAGGGGCAGAGTCCAATGCCCCCTCTCAGGGCAAGCCCTGACTTCAGGTCCTCTGACCTCCACTTCAGGTTGTGCATCTATCTTGCAGCTCAGACTTCAAACAAGTGCCAAGGTTTATGTTCTAAGGTCATTGAGGATATTCAGAGTACTGGGGAGGTATTTTTATAAAATCCTCAACATTTCAATGACAGTTTCAACAGTTCAGAGACAGCAATAACTTTATTTTTTTCTTTTGTGGTGTAGAGGATTGAGCCCAGGGCCCTAAGCATGCTAGGCAAGCACTCTACCACCAGGGTCTAGCCCAGCTCAGGTGAGAACTTTTGAGGCTTTTTAGAGAGACATCTCAGTGTTAGCCTGTGGGTAAAGTTTGTCTTCAGATTTAGATACACATTGCTTTTCTTAGGGTCTGGGAGTTCTGTTCACTGGCGTCCATAGTTAGACTCATTGCATTTCTGTTCAAGACTCAGAAAAACAGAAGGTCGGAAATTGTTTGCATTGAATAATGGACAAATGCCCATGTTGGGAAAGATGACCTGGCAGGAGTTTATGACCAGTTGTACTGGTTGCAAATGCCAGAGCGTCAGGTGGCCTGTGTTGAGGCTGTCGGTTGCCTAGGAGTCAGTCCTCTGCTGGGTGCAATCCAGAGGTGCCAGGGTGCTCTGCTTGAGGGGCCACCTGAGAATCTCTCTTGCTTTTCTGGGTGGGTATCATCATTTTGTGGCTGCTCCTGTCTGCTTCTTGGAGTCTGTGGGGCTCACTCACTGTGTGCAGTTGGCTAAGGTTCAGGGGGTCCTGCCTGGCCTTGCCACAGGTCTGGGGTCTCACCCAGCAGGGATGCACCTCTCCTCACAGTCTCCTTTCCAACGCAGTTGCTGGGCCCTATTACCAGGCCCCCAGGTGTGCCAGGCAGTGGGTGTGTGGGCTCCACAAGGCTCCTACGGCCAATGCGTGGAGGTCTCTGCAGCCTCCCTCACTGTGAGGCCAGCCCGAGGTCAGGGAAGGAAGTGGGCACCACTTGATGGGAACAGCTGCAAACTCACACCACAGCTCTCCATCTGGCAAACCCAATCCTTTTAAAATCATACAAACATATTCTTTTATTTTGAAACCCTTTCCAGCTTTATGGAGGCATAATTGACAAATCAGAATTGTAATCTGAACGGTGCACAGTGTGAGGAATTGATGTACCCGTGTGTTCTCTCACGGGCCTGTGGGCATGTGCACTTAGATGTGCGACCCTCTCCCTGCCTGGTTGTGTATTAAGCATACTTTAATACAGAAGCCCTTTTCCTAGCTTCACCAAGCAGAGTCCTCCCAGATGGAATCGGGTCCAAGTATTCTCTGGGCTGCTGGTCCCCTCTCTGAGGTTGGGTCAGCTCCCTTGGCCCGGCCCTTCCTCATTGCAGCAGAGGTTAGCATGCTGCAGAGGCTGAGCTGAGCCCAGGTGCACCCCCAGAGGGGGCTGAGGACGTTGAGGAAACACCAGGGAGGAGGCTTTTGTCTTCCCAGCCCAAGAGGCAACAGGGCTGTGGCAGCTCCAGGGGCGTGCTCTCCACTGAAGTGTCCCCCCTTGTGTTGCAGAGATTAACCAAAATGCTGACAACCTGCACGTGTTCCTTCTGATCTGCGGGCTCAGGCAGGTCAAAGACCCGCTCTACCTGGTGGATGCCTTTTCAGGTATGTTCCCTGCGGGGCCTGTGAGTGTCAGGACATTGAACGCGCCCGTCAGAGCTCTGACCCTGTCCTCTCTCTGTCCTTGTGCTTCGAACATGAGCAGAACCATTTCCAGATTGTTACAGCAGAAACCATGGGAAACATGGCTGACGGGCTTAAGGGAGGAGTGGTGACTTCAGCCTAGTTTCCTGCTTTTTTCTGTCCTCAGAGCCGAGGAACTCATCAAATCACAGCTGATCAGGAGGCTACAAATTTTTATCTGGAAACTATTCCATACGTGCCTATTTGCACAACAGGTTTACCACTGTATTTTGTTGTTGGAATTGATCTATTTACACTTGAGTTCATTCTAAACTCCATATTGGGTTTTGGTGGCATATTGGTCCTAGTTCTCTGGTAAATTAGAAATATGGATAATGTACAACATAGTGGGGAAAAAATCTTATTTAAAAACAAACTGTCACATGTATAAATTCTCAAGAAATATAATTTACAATGGCTAATATTATGATTGGTAGTGTAAGAATAAGAAATTATTTATATTTTGCAGTAAACATGTTAAATGTAATTGTATAGCTGTGACTTAAAGCCATTTTAAAAAATCTTTTTTTTTTCTTTTTCCTTCTCAAGAATGGCATCAAGAAGAGCCCAACGTTTACATGGTAATTGTGGGCCCTGAAGTAAGTCCATGTTTTGTGAACATTTAGTTCATCTCTGTTTTCTTCTTTGTCCTCTTTTATGTATTTTCTAAAAATTAGTTTACATTACTCTCCTAACCAGCAGGACTTTTTTTCTCTTTTTAACTAAATGAAGTCAGTTTGCCTTTTAAAAATGAAAACCAGACCAAGGTTAAAGATCATCACAACTGAAATTAATCTTTGCAGTTAATTTATTGCAGAAGTCATTACAATTATTCTTTACAACCACCTTTTGCTGCAAAGGATAGCATACTTAAATTCTTACACAAATACAGATGGGTCATACAAAGAGAAAATTATTTAAAGTCATATAAAGCGGAGGTTAGTCTAAATCAACATTGCGCACAGCCCACTTTGTCTCTAGAACTCTCTTAAATTGTTTAAGAAGGGAACTCAGTTCTGTTTTTTCAACCCAGCCTCACACTGAGTTATCGGCCAGTGTTGAGAGGCTTGTGTGGAGCATGCTTGTGTGTAAGCAGAAGGAACTCAGGGGTGGGGAGATGACCATGAATGACCATGGCGACCCTTGCCAGGGAAGAGTCCTGTAGAGTCCTTGGAGCTGTCCCTCCTGTCCCCCACTGTCCAGGATGGTCAGTCACCTGCTCTGTCTCACACTCAGTTTTCAGTGCTCAGGACCCAGAGAATCTGCGGCCGCCCTGGCCATCTCATAAATAGGAGCTGACCCAGCAGTTGTTTCCAGCAGTTTGGTGTTTCTGGCCAGGAGAATGCAATGTCGCAGCAATAAGTCCATTTCTTCCTGGGGTTTCTGGGCCAGGGTTGTTGCTGGGGTGTGAATGCTGCGTCCCACCCCCATTCCTATGCGGAGTCCTGCCCCAGCATGCCAGGGTGTCTGGAGGTGGAGCATTTGGCTTCAGGGCATGGAGCCCTGGTGATGGGATTAGTGCCTCATCAAAGGTCCCAGAGAGCTGCTCCCCATCACCCCCAAGTGAGGACATAAGAAGAAGTCACCAGCTATGAGGCAGGAAGTGGACCTTGCCTGACTCCAAGTCCTCTGGCACCGTGACCTTGGACTTCCAAACTGCAGAACCGTGAGCAGCACGTTCCTGTTTGTTCATAGCCCTGAGTACATGGTGCGATGCTGCAGCGGCCCAAACAACCAAGACAGTTAAGTCTGTGCCGTGCTGTTCTGCCCCCACCTTGTTGCCTTTGTGCGGGCGGGGACCCAGAGTTGTGATGGTACACAGGCTCCACCCTCTCTACATAGGAGCGACCCTAGCCAAGAACTCCAACTCCAACTCCAGAGAAGGGACGTCACACAAGTTCCCTGAGGCTTGGTGGTGTGGTCCTTCCTCCTCAGCCGGTTTTTCTGGTTTTCTCAGGGACTGTAGTACTGGCTGCTTGCTTCAGTGTTCCCAAGGGCTTTTGGAAACTATTTGTTTCCCTGCAAAGAGGCTAGAGAAGCTACTAAGGTCTGGCATCTGTAGGAGAGGACCCCCATCCATGCCATGTGCTTGGTACAACACGCACTCTCACACCTCTGCACACATGCACACAGAATGCTGGCTTTGGGTGGTAACAGATGATTCCTGGTGCACTAATTACACTTCAGTCCCACAGTGGGAAAGTTACTATTATTTTAAAAATCCTCCTTCCAGCCTTCTGTTTGAAGGACATGATTAGAAGAAAAAGTTTGATGCTGCAATTCTTGTTAGCCCAGGAGAAGCTTTCAGGCTTAGGCTGTGGACTAGCAATGACAGCACCCAGAGAACTTAGTAAGGTGACTTTCTTGCCGGGCACAGTGACACATGCCTGTGACCCCAGTGGCTCAGGAGGCTGAGGCATGAGGATTGCAAGTTCAAAGCCAACCTCAGCATCTTAGCAAGATCCTAAGCAACTCAGCAAGACCCTTTTTATTTATAAAAAGGGCTGTGGATGTGGCTCAGTGGTAAAGTGCCCCTGGGTTCAACCCCCAGTACTGGAAAAAAAAGACCCCCCAAAACAAGCAAAAAAATACTTTGTTTTTCAACGTTTACATTTTCCTGATGCTATTCTACTTAGAGTACGTGGAACTGGCTTTCCGAATAGGATGATTTCCTTTAAACATAAAACAAATTGACTTCAGGAAAAGTGCTCAAGAAGCAATGGTACAGATGACACGCAGGCACGACAAATCGTGAGGACCCGTGCAAACAGCTGAGTCAGGTGTGGGTGTGCAGCGGGAGAAGAGGCCAGCACAACATGGGCGTGGGGCCCACGTGGTCTTGGCTCCATATGTGTCCTCTTCAGGAAACCTGCAGGCCACGCGAGCTGGGCCTAGTGGACAGTGCCACTGTGTGGGAGAAACCCTCCTGGGTCCCCACTGGGCTCCACCACAGCACCCCCCTATCACAGCCCTTCAGGGGGCACATCATCACTGCTGTGCTCCTGTGACACATGCCTTTCCTCCCCGTCTTTCCGGAATGCCTCTCCTCTTGCCAGCCTTTGCCTGCTTTGTGAAGGAACCATCAGTGTGAAACGAGCTTCTCTTTCCTTCCCAGTGGGCAGTGAGGTCCACTGTCCCTGAGGTGTGGCGGCCGTGGTGAGCTGGGAGGGCTGCATCCAGCCGCAGCAGGGTTGTGGGGCTTGGAAGGTGCAGGACTCTGTGCCACCTTGTGAGAGCTGTGTGTGTCTGGAGGCCTCATGGGTGTGTGTGTGGGTCACTGTTGCCCAGGATGATGGCATGAGCTGCCTTCATTTCTAAGTGCCCACGCTGTGAGCCCTCACACACACCCCGTTGCCCATGGAGGACCTGCACAGTGTGCTTCTCTTGTTCTCCTCTGCTCTGGAAGGATGTAATCACTAACTGGTTTTGAGCAAAGACTGTGACAGCTTTGCCTGATGAGGTGTTGACCGGGGTTTGACGATCCAGGATTAGGGACCAGAGGGTGGTTTGGGGCAGGTTGAAGGCCATGGAGGAGGGGCCTGTCTCGGCCATTGCCAGAGGCCCTACAGCCCCATTTCCAAGTGGATCTAACACCACTGCAGCTTCCCCGACCACAGGGTACTTACCAGGCAAGCTAGGTACAGGGAAAGTCCCTGGGTCCCCACTCCCACTAGACCACCCCACCCAGGTCCCCTGGGGCTGTTGTGGGGCTTTATCTGCAGCCCCACAGGTTAGTTCCCCCGGGGTGGGGCAGAGGACACAGGCCATGAGAGCAGTCGCCAGGCAGCTCTTCAGCCAGGCTCTGGGACTCGGCGTGAAGCCTTCCCAGCTGAGAGTGCTTCAGCTCCTTGCCTGAGTCCCTCGTGGCTCTGAAGCACCTCTCCCACGAGACACTTCACTATCTGTAATTAAAACCCCTCCAGGAAATGGAGCTGCATCTTCGGCTGCACATTTGTTGCTGAGCAGAGCAGCCTCAGCACCAGGCTGGTACGGGTCCGTGTTGCCCGGAGCTCTCCTGGGACTTGCCAGCTTCTTCTACAATGGCAGGTGACACTGAATCTTCCAGGTCTGACTCTGGTTGCATAAAGGGAGCGTCTCTGGGCCGTCTGGCAGAATCCAGGCTCTGTCCTGCCTCCTGAAAGATCTTTCTCACATCTCAGGTGGACAGCCGACAGCCCCACAGACCTGCGCACCACCTCACAGAGCGGCTAGTGCGCCTGCACCCCAAGGCAGCTGAGGCCCCGTAGTTATGACCCTCCGGCCACCTGTGTCCTTCCTGATACTCTCTGTCCTTAGATGTTTCTTTCTGGTACTGGGGATTGAAACCAGGGATGCACTACCACTGAGCCACTGTCCTTTTTATTTGAGGACAGTGCCTTGCTAAGCTGCCCAGGTCAGCCTTGCACTTGAGATCCTCCTGCCTCAGCCTGCCAAGTCACTGGGGTTACAGGTGTGTGCCACCATGCCTGGCTTGTCTTTAAGATTTAGCATGTTTTTTTGGATCCTTTGGCAATTCAGATGGGCTTGAGCCTCCACGTTTTGTCTATGTTTTAGCCGTGGCCAACGGTAGTGCCACAGACACTTGACCACCAGCTTTATGCGGCAGGGCCCATTGGTGGAAAATCCTATTTGGCCTTCCATGGTGTAAGCACTTTCTCGGTGCTCAGTCCCAAGTTTCCAAGCTGATGTCACTGAAGGCAGCCTTGAGAGGAGATGGGATGGGCACCAGCAGCTGTCACCAGCAGGCAGAGCCGCCCCAACACATGCTATGTGGCAATGTGCCACACACACACACACACACACACACACACACACACACGAGACTCACCTGCCACACGCACACACTGGAACGGAAAGGAGGTCAGCTAAACAACATTTATTTCTTGCGGTTCCTGCACTCTGATAGTTTAAAGAAGCTTTTGGGGTCCCAGGTTCTGGCCTAGCAAGCACCCTGCTGTCAGGTACACCCCAGGTGCACTAGGCCTGCTTAGAAATGGGCCCAGGGGCCTTGGCAACCGTGACAAAGCTTCCAGAACGGCCCTTCTACGTCCCTTTTCAGAGTGCTATTTCCACCTCAAATTTGCTTTCACGATTTGCTGTGTGGTCTGGGTGGCTTGAGCCATGTAGTGTGGCAGGTGTCTGTTTGTGCCAGACCCCACTGGACATTGCCTGTGTGAAGGCACACTTGCTGCTTCCTTGTGAGACTCCCCCTGGCTCACCTGGCTCCCGAAGGACCCTCTCAGGTGCCCTCCCCTGAGCTCTCAGCTCCAACCCACCCCCTGTCGCTGCAGAACTCTGAATCCTCCAAGTCAGGCCTTCGGTTTGACCTCATGCCTGGATCCAGAGCAAAGGAGATGGACATCATCTTACATTTGAGTTTGGACACGTACTACAGCATCAGGGGCCCACATGCTCATGATCTGGAGGCAGTCGGAGAAGGGGCAAGAGGTCAATTCTAGGGATGCCTTAAATTCTTAGTTTAGTGACTGGCCTTCACAGATGGGCCCTCTGAAGTGCACAGTTATCTGGGGCATCTGAGGTGGTGCACCCTCATTCTCCTCTGGTCCGCATGCTTCTTCATCAGCCATGGCTCTCAGTG